AAAAAAGGGAAAAAATAAAAACAAGACTATATTTGGTGAGACATGCATTTGGTGATTGCAATTATGAATACATAAATGATGGCAATATTATGAGGACTGAGATAAGGATAAAATAGCCTGTTACAAGATACACTGCTTCATATGTGCTAAAGTGATATTTGATAAAGAACACAGAATATCTTAAAGATCTATTTCAAACTCAGTGATAACAACTAAAAAAAGCAAATGAATACAAAAGAATTATATTAAGTATAATTGTTATGATTAGAGGACAAGAAATTCTACAAAATTCTCCATTGAAACCAGGAAAACAAAAAAATAAACAAAAAGAGGTAAAGATAAAGAAAAGAACAAGTAAATAAGCAGAAGGCAGTAACAAATGTGGCAAGTATAACTCCAAACATACCAATCATCGCTTTAAACATATGAGGGTTTGGGGTGGGGGATCCAACTTAATGGGCATAATGCAATGATACGTTTCTATACTATCAAGAATAGAGTATGAATGTTTTTGCCACAACAAATAAGTAAGCAAGGAAATGGTTATGTTAATCAGTTGGATGTAAGCATTCCACATCATATATCAAATCAGCACATTGTACCCCCTAAATGCATTAATGTATACAGTTATGATTTAATAAAGAATTAAAAATTAAAAAATGATCTAAATATACGAATTCAAAAACAGTAACTGAGAGGGTGGATAATAAAACAGAACTCAACAATAAAACATTTCTAAGAAATTCACTTCATATATAAGAACCCGGAGCTCCAGTAACTCAATCAGTTAGTGCATGGTACTGATAATATATATAAGAACACACATATTATTAGGTATATATCCAGAAGACCAAAAATCGAATTACAACAAAGATATTTGTATCAGAATGTTTATTGCAGCCCAATTCATAATTGCTAGGTCATGGAAGAAGTCCAAATGCCCATTGACCTATGAATGGATCAATAAATTGTGGTATATGTATACCATGGAATACTATGCAGCTCTAAAGAAAGATGGAGACTTTACCTCCTTCATGTTTATATGAATGGAATTAGAAAATGTTATTCTTAGCAAAGTATCTCAAGAATGGAAGAAAAAGTATCCTATGTACACAGCCCTATTTTGAAACTAATTCATAGCTTTTATAGGAATGTCATAACCTTATTATAGCCTTAGAATATGGGAAGGTTGTAGGAAGAGGAGGTGAGGGAGGTGGATGGGCGGAGGGAGGGTGATTGGTGGGGTCGCCTCTATGGTTTATCTTACAAGGGTACAAGTCAATCTTTCTAAAAGCAGAGTATGAATGTCTTGACTCAATAACTAAGAAAATGACATGAAGGTTATGTTAACCAGTTTGATGAGAGTATTTCAAAATGTATATGAAAACAGGACACTGTACCCCATGATTGCATTAATGTACATAGTTATGCTCTAAGAAATAAAAAAAAAAATCGAAAAAAAAAAATAAACCAGGAAGGGATTCCTAACTTTTCACTAAGACTTCATTAATTTCCCAGCTCTGTTAAGTGGTTAACACAGGACTTGACCTGTGGTTTGTTTATCCACAAATCCTTCAGAAACGCACTCATGCACAAGGCCTCAGCTTTCTCATCTTGGGGGAGAGAGCAGAGGAGAGTGATGTCGGGTGGGAAGTTTCCCCAATCAGGGAGCCAAAAATGAGTACAAAGGTGACCTTATTTATCTTGTGAATTTAGAAGAAATTATATTTAACAATTTCTTGCTTAATCTGTGGTTAGAACACCCCATAAAATCTATCCACATTACTACTGTGGCATTGGGTTTAGGACATGGCTCCTCGGTCCTATGACAAGTCACTTACCCTCTCAGAGCTGTCCATCTTTATAACTGGGATACTGCCATTTCGTGGGATTGTTTGGATTAAAAGTAAATCTAATATATATCATCTTTCAAAGGTCTATTACATACCTTATTCAAAACATAGTGACATTAACTTATTTAAACTATTCAATAAACATGACAATATACAGAAAAGAGATTTGGGATACATGACATTAATCAGATGAACTAAATCAATAAATTTGATTTACAAATTTAATTTACTACTCCAGGAACCGGGTAACATTCTGATGTATCCTTGAATTCATTCCACTACCCTTGCAATGTTTGGGAGTTTAGAAGTCATGTATGGTTAGCACATGTGTTAATTTTCCTGGACAAATAAATAAGGGGTGTTCTCCAAATCTCAAAGGATATCAGAGGTGCCACATCCGTATTTATCTTGCAAATATCATTGAAAGGAGGGGAGGAGGATTCTTTCTTTAAGTATTCTAATGAAGCACAGGAAAAATACACGATTTGAAAGTAGACACACACAGATTATTTCCTAAGAAAATATTCCAGGGCATCTCATTTACCTGGTAAGATATGAAGAATGTTTGTAGCATAATGACAGATTCTATGTGACATGCTCTGGAAGGGGCGGGCAAGTCTCTGGTCACCAGTATAGGGCACAAAGCCTGATGCAAACCAGATGCTTAATAAATATTTCTTCTGTGAATAAAAAGTTAGCCTGGGAAAGCAGCAAGAAGACTTGGATTCTGGGTCTTCGAATTCTGCGTGGTGCCTGTGGCTCAGTGTGTCGGGTGCTGGCCCCATATACTGAGGGTAGCAGGTTCAAAACTGGCCCCAGCCAAATTGCAACAGAAAAATAGCCAGGTGTTGTGGTGGGCACCTGTAGTCCCAGCTGCTTGGGAGGCTGAGGTAAGAGAATTGCCTAAGCCCAGAAGCTGGAGATTGCTGTGAGCTGTGTGATGCCATGGCACTCTACCGAGGGCTATAAAGTGAGACTCTGTCTCTACAAAAAAAAAAGAAGACTCGGATTCTGGTCCCAGCTTAGTCAGTAATTAGCCACGTGGTCTTGTGTAACACATAAAGACCTTTGCAGGTCTCAACATTCTTAGTGGAAAAGTGAGACAAGCATCTTTGTCTAACCTCATTCATGGGTTGCTTATGAGCTGTGAAGTTACCCCATGTATGCAGAAATACTTGAAAAATTGGAAGCATATTGAATTAACATGTCTACGGTTAGTATAAGTCACATGATCCCGAAAAACTGTCTCTGTGTTCCTCCTTTTCCTGCTCAAAACTCCGTTCCTGGGAGGTAGGCAGTAGTTCAGGATAATTTGGTTCCCAGACACCATTTCTTTCAGAAGTAAATAGGGATCCTTACTTCAAGCTAATCTCCTTGTGAATCCGATCAAGCCTCGGCTTCCTGTTTTAAAATGACAGGGCCAGGAAATGATCTCTAAGTTCATGTTAGCTCAAAAAAGAAAAGACTGTCATTGGTGTTATTCTTTGGGTCTTTAATTAAATCACAAGACTATGGATTAAATCA